TTAACATATTCACGGCTATTGTTGCATTACAGTTTTGCATCTCATCTTCTTCAACCTACGCAATTAGGAATGGCAAAGAATAATGAACTGCAAAAAAAGAATTTTAAACTAAGCATAAAAATACACAACAGAGTAGCAGTACTTTTCATGTTGATTTATTCTTGATAAATCTGTTTCTGTTCTTGTGTGCTTATATTTTTTTATTGATAAATAAGATCATAGCTTTTCAAATGTCTCATTAATATAGTGCCGTTGAACATAACAGCAACGCCAATAGCACCATCATCATCACCATTACCAGCAAGAAGCACCATTAAAATTGCCGTTATCGTCATCGTCAATTGTTATCATCACACCACTATCACCATTGCCGTCATCATTTTCTAATAACTCATACTAAAGCTAAGGCAATCAACAAGAAAAATAATAAAGAAAACTTTATCTACTTGACTTGATCACATTCACCGATTTCTTTTCTGATTTTTAACAGATGTAAAAAAAGACAAAAACAAAAAGAAAAACAAAAACAAAAAAAAAAAAAAGAAGAAAAAGAAAGAAGAAGCAGAAAAGAAAACATCAATTTTCTTTTGAATCAGTGTTTATCCCGACAAAATTCTAATAAAATCTTTGCAACTTTTGTTTTATCTGATTTTTTTCCGCTTCTCGCTTTTTTTTTTTATTGCTTCTGTTTTTGACTAACTTACAAACATTTTTAGGTTGAAAGTCTTGATAAATTAGTCTGCTATGTGCACTTTTTTTTCATGTCTGTTTTTCTTTCAATTTTTCAAGATAACTATGATTTGCAAAAGAAGACAACAGAATGAATGAAAACTGAAACTAAAAGCAAAGTATTCTGAGAAAATTTAATAAAAAATAACTTTTTTCTTACAGTAATAAATCGAAAAAAAAAAATGAATTTTTTTTTTCTCCTTATCAGTTACAGTTAAAAGTTATCGCACAGCCATTATACAATTCCAATTAAAATAAATCTTTGTTTTGTTCCGCTTTTCCTTGGTGTTCTGTTATCAGCACTTTAGATGAACAGATGACTGCAGTATTTGTTGCATTAAATTAAAAAGAAGAAACATATAAAAAGTTATTGTTGTTAAAATTAAAACCGGTAAAAGTGTACAAAAAATTTTAATTCTTTTGTACTCTGTTAGTCGAACTACAGTTGATAAACTTAAATGATAAGTTGACACTTTTTTTGGGTACTTTGGGCTTTACATATAGTTTATACTATCTATGCATGTTTTCTGGCTATTTACAGCAATAACAAGCTACCAAAGCACTATCAAAAGCAGTGAAGAAACTTAGTAATCTGAGGAAAAAAATCTTTATGCTAATTAAATAAAGAATTACAAACCAATAGAATTAGTAGAATCGTTGAGCCAACTTTACTGTAACAAAAAGAAAGACAGACTTTTGAATGTGAACTTGAGCAAATAAAATGAAATCATTGATACAGTTGAAAATGTTAAGTTTGTTTCCCAATTACATCGTCTGCCGATAATCGTCAAAGCATAGAAGTCAGAAGATAGAATGTAAAAAAAAAAAAAGCAAACTTAATTTTGTTTTTAGTTGCTCAGAATCAACTTTATTCCGACAACAATTAAAGTGCAGTCAACGCTCATTGACTGCTCCGGAAACCAAATGTCTTTAACAGTGACTAACGCGGTTTGGTGCTCGTTGATTAGTCTGAATAAAGTTAAAGGAACAAGTTCGAATTCTATTTTTTGAATTCTTTTTTTTTTTTACGTATACATATAAACACATCGCATATATGTTCAAAAAGAAATTAAACTATTATGTATCTTTTATTATTGGCAAACAAATACTGCTTATCTGTCTCTTGAACAGATGAAAAAAAAATTTCAGCTAAAATGTTAAGGTTTAATTTATATATATATATATATATATATATATTTTTTTTTTTT